GAGGTGGACGCAATCCTCAGTCAGATGACCATGGCTCCTATGGTACTGACAATATTTGTTCTTGTCTGCTCTGGGCTTGGCAGGAGCAGGTCGGGGACGTTTGACATCGTCGTCCTTGAAGTCAGTGTTGGCACACTCCGCCAGAATGCGCTCGCGGGAAGCTGTGAGCGGAGTGTACTCGGTGAAACGCCCCGAGGGTCCTCTTTGTTCCCAGACTTCCCGGGGTCTGTCTTCTTTTCTTTTCTCCCCGATTCGTCGAGGAGGAGGAACTTCCTGGCGCGAGCTGCTGTTGGACCCGCGAGTCCTGGGGTCTCGGGCTCTGTTGGCCGCTTCCCTCTCCACGTAGTCCATGTATGCCCGAGCTTTTTCGAGGAGGGCGTCGAATGTCCTGGGTGGCTCGATGCCCACGGCTTTTCTGAATTCTGTTTCGGGGAGGAGCCCCCTCTCCAGCAGATATCTCTTCATATGGTCCGCGAAGGGGACCTGTATGGCTTCCCGGTTGAAGCGATTGATGAACTCCCTCAAGGTTTCATCCTGTCTTTGGATGATGACCTCGAGAGCCGCCTCGGTCTTTGGATGCCGCCGAGAGGCTGTGAATTAACTGATGAACTGGTTCTTCAGGTTTCGCCACGAGGTGATTGAGCCCGGGGCGAGTCCTTTGTACCAGTCCATTGCCGCCTTCCTGAGAATCGTGGGGAATAGTCGGCATTTGATGGGCCCCCCGACATTGTGGTAATGCAGCATAGCCTCAAACCCGTCTATGTGGTTGACCGGGTCCGCGACTCCATCGTACTCCTTCAAGTGCGGGGGTTTCTCCATGCCCGGGGGGATGGGCGCTTCCATGATAGCTTGCGACAGGGGACCGCGGGGGTCGTCCTCGTCGCTCCTCTCCGGAGACAGAGATGGGGACCTGTAATACTGTCGGGCACGACGGTCCTGGTCGTGCTGAATTTCTCTCGAGCGTGATGCTCGTTGGTTGAATCTTGCATGTCCGTCTCCGGAGTGCCTTCTTTCCTGTCTCGCCGGGTTGCGACTAGGTCCTCCGGCTTGGATGATGGGATGCCTCTCCAAATGGGGCCGTTTCCCCTTTGGTCGGGGTGACTGGCTTCGAGAGTTTTCTCTGTAATGTCTCCGCGGGGGAGACGGGAGTTGGACTTCAGTCACTCGAGGAGGTGGGGTATGGGGCCTCCGATGCCTCCTCGGGGGTCTTCGGCCGTCTTCAAGCGCCTTTAGCCTTTCCCCTTGGGCGAAGATGAGATAGTTTGTTTGATTAATCGCTGCGAACAACGCTTGAGTTGTGGCGTTCGCCCCGGCGGGGACAGGGACTTCCTGGAATCGGGCTGCCCGGTAGTTCGCGAGAGCTGCCTCATCGTCTTCGAGTGGCGGAGGGACCGAGGAAGACGAAGCAGTAGCTCTGTCGCGGTAGGTTGAAGGTCCGGGGGTAGTTGACGCAGGGATGGTGTTGTGACCGGGGTTGCCGGCGTTGTCAAGGTGTCCGTTTTTGTCCGCGGGGCCGTTGTTGGTGTCGACGACGCGGACGTTCTGTTCATCGCGAGCTTGATCAGCCATGACAGCGGTAGTTGAGTTTGAGCTTTGGTCTTTGAGTTTTGCAAGACGGGGAAGCTAGTTTCCCACAGACGGCGCCACTGATCTAAGCTGATCAGACTTGGACCGTCACGGCTGACTCCGAGCTGAAGTTTTGAACGAGGTGTGGGGTACCTGCAAGGCACTCCGATGCTGAAGTAAGTAAGAGCACGAGCAGGCAATAATATGAGTATGGGTAAAAGAATGAATACCTGACCCTCTGGGAACATAGGGTATTTATAGCCCCCAGCGCTGGGCCAAGGTTCCTTCATTGGGCCGGGCAGGTTTGACCCAATGGAGGAACTGCCAGGTTCTACGTGTGTAGTGGGGACTCACACGTGGTCCCCTTCCTGGATGTTCTGCCTGAAGTACGGGCGGACAAGGACGCGGTCTTTTCGGGATCCAGGTGGTGGTGTAGTGGACAGAGTCTGCCCTAGGAGGAGTGTTCGAGCTGAGGTCGAGCAGGATAGCACGAAGTCGAGGATGTCGCACTGGCATAGAGTGTCGGGCACGGCCGTGGCCCTTGGTCGGCGTGATTCCTTACAATACCGTTTGGATTGGGCTTTCGTCATTGCCTTTGGGCCAGCCCGGCCCAGTCCAGAACAAATATTATGTTAAGAGTCAAATATTGCTCTTTAAACTGAATGAGGTCTACAATTTTTTTATTAATAAGTATATGAGTTAAATGATTTAAAATAAAATAAATTAATTTTTTAACAAAACTGTGAAAGAGTTTTTATTTGAATTTATTCGTTGATATTAATTTATTAAATAATAATATAAAGAATTTCAAATATAAGAAATATTTTGCATATATTTAAAACTATTTATTTTTTGTATATTTTTTAAGAAGTAAATAAAAAAGTGTTATTCTAGACAATAATAATTTATTTATAATGCTATATTGTAAAAATAATCGAATTCAGGAAAATTATAAAGACCAATGACATTTATGTTCCAATTAAATTTAGCCACAACAAATAATTTTTTTTATAAAATTATTTAAAATTAAATCATCTAAAAAAAAATGAGTTTAATAACCAAATCTCTCAAGTCTATGATATAGAAACATGTGTGGAAGCAAAATACAACTAAAAGTTTATAACATTAGAAGCATTACAATTACACTAAAACATTGTAATAAAGTGACAAAAGATTTAGAGTCTCTAGAACAATATTTGGGTCTGTATTTTAAACTACAAATTAAATTATTTATCCAAATAGATTATAAATTTAGGATTTTCCAAATGATAATTCTAAATGATAAGAAAAAAGGAAATAAATGTATAAATTAAAATTGATTGAATATAAGAAGAAGCATAAAAGGTCCAAGCTTTTGATTTGACCTTCTAAAAAATCAACTAAAAATTACAACAAAAAAAAAATAACAACTCTTTTTAATTCTGAATCAAACCATATAAATTTATTAAAGTCAAATCTAAAATCTAAAAAAAATAAACAAAAAGGTATTTTATACCCTCATTTCATAGATCAAAAATACAAACAGTAAGACGTCATGTCTCCTTTGAATCATCAATATCAACAATACTGTCGAATTTGTGTGATATTATTTCCTATATAAATTAATGGATTAAGTAATGAAGTTTGAAAAAAAAAAAGCATGAACCACATAAACTAAATACAAAGAAGAACATCGAACATAATGAAAGAAACAACAAAATGATATTGAAATTCATGATTTGTTGCTGCACACTTTTTTTTTTTACAAATCCTAATTAAATCAGCTTGCAACAAACTAAAATTTAAGAAGAACAACAACGTGATAAAATAAAATTTAAAGAAGAACAACAACATCATAACACTTGAATTTTCCGGCGAAGAGCATATAATATATTGAAAGCACAAATAATAATAATAGACAAAAACGAAAAATTCTTGATAACATATAGTTTTAAAATAATTCATTTAATCAAATCGCAAGAGGAGGAACAACAACATAAAAAAAGAATTTCTAAATTGATGATATTTATAATTTTACCTTTCATTATCCTGTTTACCTTTTTGTACCAAATGAACTATCCACTATTCAGATATCTTTATGTAGTTGTTTTAGAATGCAGAGATAGTTGTAAGGGAAACACGTTTATTTTATAGCATATTGATAACCTTTCATAAGTGTAGAAACCAAAGCCATCAATCTATTATCTATCTATAAAAATCTATGTCTTTGGAAATTACCACAATACCAAAGCTGATAAAATGCTTTCTTGGTCTATTGTATTGGGGTAAAATAGGAAATTCAAAAATATCTTGCACCATATTCATTTGAATCTGATGTGGCACTCCCACAATTTTTCACCACATTTTCAATTTTTGTTTTTCAAATAAATCCATGCCCAACCATTATGCCTCTCTTCCTCTTCCCCATGCCAAACCATTATTCCTTGCCATTCAATTGGAATATTGTCGCTCATTATTAAAATTCCAAAGTTAAAGAATTGATGTGCAGCCATATTAATCACATGGAGAAACACAAAACGTTTCCATCCTCTCCAAAATTCTTTTATTGATTTGTATTTCATTCAGATCTCTTCATCTGTAATACTTTGTTCTTCTTCATTTCTTTCCTCTCCATTTAGCTGTTGTCATTACATACTCCCATCTGGGTTTTTGAAATTTGAAGAAAATAAATCACGGAGGTTAAAAACGATAGGGTGAAATTCAATGTTGCATGCAGCTTACATCGAAAAGCAACAACACAAGCCTATAGACTACAATCCAAATCTGAAAAATTAAAGTGGAACATTAGCATCAGAGAAAGTAAAAAAGGAATGTGGAACTCCGACGCGTCCAATCCCACCACTCTGATCCCAACCGCAAAGACCGCTACCGATGGATCTTCTTCCAGCACAACCAAGCCCCTGATCGCAAGAACTCAACCTTAACGAAGTTGTCCTTAAAACGCATAAATCCGTCGAACGCGATACGTAGCTTTCCATCTCTGGGCGTACGTTTGTGGTACCTCTATTTCATTCCATGTGTTCATTTCAATTATTGATTTGTCTTGATATCATTTGCAAAAAATGGTAGAAATTTGAGATGTGGGTTTTATTTCTTTAAAAATGAAAAGAAATCCATTGATTTTGATTTACAATGAAAAGAAGTTATTCTTTCTCCAAGTTTGGATTCACCAGGTAGTCAATTTGATTGTTTGGCCCCTTACTGTTTCAATTTCTTTTTTGTCTGATTGTTTGGAATCATCAAGCTTATGGTTCCTATAGGTATAAACTGATTCTATGCTTTTTCTGTTGTTGTTACAGCTTATAACATCATCTATGGCTCGCCCTCTTGAATCTGTAAAGGACATCAATGAGTCAAAAGATTCATGGAAGATTGCTGTTAGGTGCAGACATGTCTAGCATGTGACGAGTGCTTCGAAAAAGGAACACATTGAGATGATTTTGGTTGATTCTAAGGTATGACGGCGGTGGTTATGTTCGTAATATACCTTCTCAAACCTTTGGGTGTCTGTAATATTGACTTTTTATAATTGTTTTTTTGTAGAGAGATATGATTCAAGCCATTGTATTACCTTTTTAGTTTCAAAATTCAAGGAACATCTTGCTGCTAGATGCTCATACATAATGCAGAATTTCAAAGTGTCTAACAATGATTCTCTTTTAAAACTAATCATAGCTGCTTATGATTTCTATCTTTGTTTTTTGTTATTTTACTTTTCAGCTTCAATCATTGTTTGATCTTCGTTTTGATTTGCTTAGTTATTTTGTTATATTTTTAACCCATTGATGTATAAACAACTGTACTGTATTTTTTTGGAGTAAACTGATAAAGTTGCTACATTATATATAAGGAAGTGTTTGGTTTCACTACAGATTTAGTGTAGCTTTTAGCTTTTTTGAGTTGTAATTTTTTATTAATTAATAAAGGTAATATAATTGTAAGTGTGTTGATTTAATGTTTGTTTACGATGCAGACAACGAAAGTGAAGGATACCGGTTCTGCGGTTAAAAATGTGTTATCGGTTATTGAATCTTTGAAGAAGCAAGTAGCTATGAAACATATTGTTTCACTCAAGGTATAATTGCTTTACACCTGCTTGTATTTAGTTGTTGATTTTGTATTTGGATTTTTGGTTTAATGTTGGGTGTTCCAAATAAAAAATTCTCTGAATCATAAATTCTCAATTCAACCGATCTAATAAATTAATAACTATTTTGTTTGTGTCTGTTTGTTCTCCGGTATCGACTAATCTGTTTGAAATGATGAGTTTAAGTATATCTTTGGAGTTCATGGAGAAATCAAAGAAGTAAGTGCAAATAATTGGTTTTTAACCATCTTAGTTGCTTTTTATTTTATGAAGATTATTCAAGACTATTTGAATATTATGTTTCTAATTCCAGATCTATGAATATCAATAAATTTTACATCCACGGCTTTTTGAGTTTTCTAGATCTTTCAAAATGTTTCTACTGGTTCTATTCAAGCAATTGCGAAGACATCAAAATAGCAAATTTTTGAGAGCACATAAGCATTATTGTTTGTATTCTATGAACTTATTTGTTATCAATTGAAGATTTTCTCATGAATGTAATGAAAATGAATTAAATTGAATAAGAAAAGGTTTTGTCTGTGGTCATAAATTTACTGTTATATTGCCGTGTCATTGTATTTTGCAGGTTATTAGGACTTATGCTTTGAACAAAACATGGTGGATAAGTTTTCTGATGGATATTATTAGGGACATTGTTGATGTTAAGGGCAATATCTCTGCCTACAGTAAGTATTATGGAAATATATAAACTTAAATAAATTTATTTTAATGTTTACCATCTCTACTGACTAATGTATGTTTATAAGAAATTTATTTTCATTGTGTTCTTGACCGCCAAGTCAAAGTCATATGAAGCTATATATATATATAAATGATTAAAGTTAAGCCCATATGAAATATTTGATAGTACAATAAATCATTAACACAAATATCATATTTTCAAATATCATATATTTGATTGCATATGGAGTCAAACCGAAAAATTGAAGCTATCAACAGAGAAGTAAGGGGATGCTAGATGGATATTTGTTAGTATATGTCGGTTTGTTATAAAGGAGTTATATAATTGGGACATTTTTGGGTGCAGAATCTAAACAATAGACAAAAGCTTGGCTGTGAGAAGGGAACTGGTATCGATAGAGCAAGGATGAATATGACAAAGTAAATTTATAATACATATTTTTATTAGCTTACTTGATAAAACATCTTGAGAAGCTGAAATATCTACTTTTTCTTGCAATCACAATTTCTTGATTAAGAAATTCAGGGATCTCATGATAGAGTTTCAGGTATTTTAATTCGAACCGCCTAATGCTGTAAGTTCTCTATTCTCATAACAATAGATTTGGCCGATTTCTGTTGTATATATGTGATATCAAGTGTTATTAATTATTTCAAATTTGTTACTGCTTTGTTTCAGACGTATAGCGCTTCAAATGAGATTGTAGGAATCTCAATTACCAGTGGAAGAGCTGGAAGTGATGAGTTATGTGTTAATCGCGTGTGTATGTATGTATTTCGAATGGCATATTTTATGTATGAAACTGATTTTGTTCTCACGCGTTTGCAGGTTGAATACGTATCGATGCATATGAAATTGATGATGAAAAGGACATGCTCAATAGGAGCTGTTATTCGCTGAAATTGAATATATGCAGAAGAGGGTTAATATTTTTCTTTGCATTTAAAAAGTGATTATTTAAAAAAAGTACTTTCTCACAATTTCTCTTTGCAACCAATACATCTTTTATTGCGAAACTGCCAAGACCTTAGCTTCATTACATTCTGTTAATGTGGATTCCATTGGTATTCGAAATTACAGGTGACATAATGATTATTGCAGAAAACAGGTAAGTTCTTTGAGAGTGTGCTAATTTACGGTTAAGGTTATGCCTTGAAGAAGATTTTGTTTTTTGTAAATAGATATACTAATGGATAATTTGCTTATTTTAGATTGAGAGATGAGGTAAGCAATATGTGTCTTCAACCAGTGAAGGTAAACCTGCAAGCAATATGAAAATGTATGATTATTGCTAGAATGCATAATTTATTAATTCATCAAATGATGAAAACATCTTATACACAACAAATATGCCAACTGCAAATGGTACTCTCGGGTTGATATTTATGAGCACATAATTAGCTACAAGTTTCTAAACTGCTGTACAAATTGGACCTTACACAGTGAAAAATATGTGCTATTTAAATTTGATAGGTATCTGAAATTGGAATGGTGAAATTGAATAATACTGAATTTTTGCTACCATAGATATATATTGTATTTGTTACAGTGTTGCAATCTCATAAAATTAATGGAAAAACTATGCAAATGGCTGCATACTAGCTCCTTGCGAGATGAAAACAGGAAATTGTACTGGAAGATAACACCCTTGCTGATAGAGAAACGACTTCTCTATACAATTAAAGCTACTGTAAAACCATTCAATAGAGTTCACTCCGGCCCCTTACCTCTCCCCTGACTTCCTTTATAGCCACCCTCTCATAATGGGTCTATCAAAATTCTGAAACTACATAATAAGTATAGAAGGTTTGATGATGACATAGATAAATTACTTCATGATATTTTTACACAGTTTCTAAGTGCAAGTTATTTTCTATTATGTTGGATTGTGATTTATGTTTCCACTTTATCTAAAATCACTCATCTACTGAATACAATGGTGATTTTACTATATATATATATATATATATATATATATATATATATATATATATATATATATATATATATATATATATATATATATATATATATATATATATATATATATATATATATATATATATATATTGGTTTTCTATGTCATACATATGTCTTCTATACTGATACAACTAATAGCTATTTCAAACTTTATTGTGTTCAGAAAAACCAAATTCTTCCTACTGATAGTAATGAGAGTGATAACAATATGAGGCTACAATCATTTTTTTCTTTCTGATTTTGTGTCAATTTTTTCCTTCAGGTAAAGTATTTTGGAAATTCGGGTGGTGGCCTCAATAAAAACCTATTTTTGAATGTATATGAATGTTTATGTTACTCTTTTTTTTATGATTATTAGTGAATGTATATATGACTGATAATTTACTACAGTTGTGAAAAAGGAAAAGAAAAACAGATTTTTTTGTTGTTTCTGCTTCAACTGATACCAAAGTAGATCTGAGGCTACTTTGTTGCTTCGAAGCTGAGCAGTGTTATCTCACCGGCTTGGTTTGGAAAAAGGTGGTTTGAGAATGGCACCTGAAGAGGCTTTAGGTGAATTATTTCAAGTCTGTCTGGACTAAGCAATAAACTACTTATTTAAACAATTAAAAAAGAGAGTTAACGAGATCTTTCGCTTTGAAATTTGTGTTATGATTTTTTTTGTTATAGTTGTTTTCTATTTTTAGTCTTAAATTTTAATGATACAACATAACATTGTTATTTTTGAGGAAATTTTGAAGCCCATTCACAAGCAGTAGAACAGGGAAGTGATTGTGCATGTTAAAGTTTGATGTTTAAGGATGAATAAATTTTTAAAGGACATGGTTTTATATTTTAGTATAATATATATATATATATATATATATATATATATATATATATATATATATATATATATATATATATATATATATATATATATATATATATATATATATATATATATATATATATATATATATATATATATATATATATATATATATATATATATATAGTTCTTGGTTCGCATGGATTTGTTTTATCCTTAAGTATGGAAATTCTTCATTGTTTTTCTGTATGTAACCTGATATTTTTTAATTTTTATGGTCTATTCAATTATTTTTCTGTTGTAACATTTTTGTATTGATCCCAATTTTACATTTGCAGTTTTAATAGTCATGTTTTAAATTAATCATTAGTTGTTAAGCTAATCAATAGTTGTAACAGTGATTGTATTAGTATGTATTTTTACTTTTATATTAAACTTTTAAATAGTTTTTATTTATCTTATCCTTTGTATTTTTGGGCATTGGTTTTCAAAGTGATTGAAGATTTTGAAGGAAAAAAGTCTATACAAATAATCTAAATTATAAATAATTAAACATTAATTTTTATGCTCCATGTATTATTTTGCATTTCTAATTATTTTAAATAAAATATAATATTTAATTAATATTCCATATTAATTATGACCAATAACTTTGCAAAAACCGAGGGGACATGAATGATTAGTATTTCACATTTATTAATGATAATCATTCTATATAATAAATTTTCCATTTAAAAATTGGTATCCATTAAATATCAAACAAATAATTATTCAATTTAAAATGTTCTTCCGATTTTAAATTATCAGAATTTGAACTGCTATGTTGCATGCTATTGGGAAGTTGTTAAAAATTTAATTATTATTATTTATTATAAATCAATTAAAAATAAACTTTTGGAAATATAATTGTAGGTAAATCATTTTTTTGTAAATGAAAAATAATTGAAAAATTAAGTTAATTAAAAACGTGGTTATTATATTTCTTTGTAATAGGAAATTATTAAAAACTTAATTATTATTATTTATTGTAAATCAATTAAAATAATAAATGTTATATTATTGTTTAATATGTAATTTTGTATTATCAATAATAAATTTCTATTATAGCAAAAATGAATGTATTATAGAAATAAGTTACAAATGGAAATAAGTTACAGATGGAAATAAGTTACAAATATTTTTATAAACGATAAAAATTTAACTATTAATACAATTGTTTTTAATAGGAATAAGTTAAAAATATTATGGATTCAAAGCACTTATAAATGGGAAAGAATCTCCATGCTGATATAATTATTTGTATAAACGGGAATAAGTAATAATAATTTTTATAAACGTAACAAGTTACAAATATTTTTATAAACGAAAATAATCTAACTATTGATGCAATTGTTTTTTAACAGAAATAAGTTAACAATAATTTTATAAATCGTCAAACAGATTCAAGGCACTTATAAACAAAATGTCTACATGTTGATATGTTAAAAGACTTATAAATGAGAAAGATTTATGTTATACTATAAACACAAATAACTTATTATTTTAACTAATTTCAACTAGATAACTTATTTCAAGGTATCATGGAGTATAGATATTTATTTAGAACTGAAATTTAAGGAGGGGGTGTTGTAAAATTTATAAATATGATATAATAAGAAGGATTTAAAACTCATATTTGAGGGGAAGCTGTCATAAATTTTAGGTTTGGAAAAATTGACTAATTTTTAGATTCAACTGGAAATATAATTTTATTATTTTCTGTAGTTTTAAAATTAACTCATCTGGATTCAACTGAGTTGTGTTAACTCATCTGAATTCACGGGCAGATGTGAACGTATCTATGAGATATCAGTTGTAGACGGGTCAATTTAATGTCCACCTTTTAATTATATCTTTTATTGTGATATATATAATTTAAATTATAAAAATGATTGTACGATTTATTATAAATACGAATAAATACTTAAAAGTTGGTAGTGAAAAACATGTAATGTGAATTTTGGTTTAAAATACTATTTGACTCAAAATAGATCGAATTTTGATTGATCAATTATTTTAGCTTATCTTAATATATATATATATATATATATATATATATATATATATATATATATATATATATATATATATATATATATATATATATATATATATATATATATATATATATATATATATATAAATTTAAAATCAAAATTAAATACATGTGGTTCATTCATTTACAAGTTCAACATTGAAATTTATAATATTACGAAGTTTGGCCAACATATGGTATTGATGTGACATTAACTTTTTTAACCTCTACCCATAATTGTTAAGCTTTGGTAGCATATACTGTAATGATGAAACACAATTAATGTTATATAGCAACTTCACTGATGCAATGCACTGTACCCTATCTCATATCCAATGTACAAATAGAGTATCTGAGTACACTTAAAAATTAGAATACAAATGTTATGAACTGCAAAACCAAACAATTCCATATAGGTTTGTTACTCTTACAGTTAGATTGTATTTGCCTACTCCTGTATTCAGTCATGGTCAGTTGTATGTAGTCATTTCAAGAGTTACAAGCAAAAGTGGTCTAAAGATCTTAATACATGATAGTATGAATGTATCAACATCTATCACTACAAATGTTGTATACAAAGAAGTTTTCCAATCTCTTTGTTGATCGGTAAGTACATAATAACAAATATTTTCTTTAATATAAATTGTTTCCGTAAATGCTGTCTAATTTTT